ACGACGTTTTGGCCACAACGCAAGCAGCCACAACGCAAGCAGCGTTATGTTTTATTTTATTATTTTATTACTTTCTTTCTACGTGACTTTACCGAAAGAACCAAGAAGATGAATCCCTGCAGTCACGAAAGCTTTAAATCGAAATTTTCTTATGTTTTATTTTTATTATTTTATCATTTCCCTTCTACGTGACTTTACCGAAAGAACCAAGAAGATGAATCCCTGGAGTCACGAAAGAAGCTTTACATCGAAATTTTATTCTTTCATTTTATTATTTTATAATTTCCCTTCTACGTGACTTTACCGAAAGAACCAAGAAGATAAATCCCTGCAGTCACGAAAGAAGCTTTAAATCGAAATTTTATTCTTTCATTTTATTATTTTATAATTTCCCTTCTACGTGACTTTACCGAAAGAACCAAGAAGATAAATCCCTGCAGTCACGAAAGAAGCTTTAAATCGAAATTTTATTCTTTCATTTTATTATTTTATAATTTCCCTTCTACGTGACTTTACCGAAAGAACCAAGAAGATGAATCCCTGCAGTCACGAAAGAAGCTTTAAATCGAAATTTTATTCTTTCATTTTATTATTTTATAATTTCCCTTCTACTTGACTTTACCGAAAGAACCAAGAAGATGAATCCCTGCAGTCACGAAAGAAGCTTTACATCGAAATTTTACTTCACCAGTACCGAGGCTCCCACAAAGACCTTGCGGGAGGGACATGTGGCACAGTTTCTGGGCCGTGACGCTTCGGTTCTCTGCGGCGAAGACAACATCGCTGGAAACACGACGGCGTTGCCGCTGCCACGAGCTCGCCTCTCTCGAAATGAAATGAACTGCGAGGATCGGCGGGTGAACGAGACACAGCCCACCCACCCAGCCGCCCGCCCACCCAGCCACCCAGCCAGCCAGCCACCCACCCAGCCAGCCAGCCAGCCAGCCAGCCACCCAGCCAGCCACCCAGCCAGCCAGCCACCCACCCAGCCAGCCACCCAGCCAGCCAGCCACCCACCCAGCCACCCAGCCAGCCAGCCAGCCACCCACCCAGCCACCCAGCCAGCCAGCCAGCCAGCCACCCACCCAGCCAGCCACCCACCCAGCCAGCCACCCAGCCAGCCACCCACCCACCCAGCCACCCAGCCAGCCACCCAGCCAGCCAGCCACCCAGCCAGCCAGCCAGCCGCCCACCCAGCCAGCCAGCCAGCCACCCAGCCGCCCGGTGGTGGTGGGTGTTGCTGTGTTGTTGTGGTGGTGGTGGTTATTGCTTTGATGTTATGTGGTGGTGGTGGGTATTGCTTCGTCTTTGCGCAGCGTCTCGAGACTTTGACGAGTTGGGTGGCGGCGGCAGCGGCGGCGGCGTTGGGGGTTTCGTGTTCTGAGCCACCGTTGAATCGCATCATCCGATGTTCGGGTCGGGCCAAGCACAACGATGGACACGGGCCCACCGTCCGTGTCGTTAAAAACCCTCCACAGTGCCAGGGGTCGGGAACCTTTTTGACTGGGAGAGCCATAAAAGCCCAATATTTCTCAATATATTTCATTGAGAGCCATATAGTAATTTTTAACGTATAATAAATTAAATGTGTCTTACTTTTAACGCGACTTCTGGTGCTGCGTGGTTCTGCTGATGGCCTTGTGTAGTCTGGTTCGTACGACTTGGTGAGGTTGAGCTTCGTTGCAGGCGTGTGACCCGTGGAAATTTTACCTTCAAAACGAATTTCTGTTGACTTTAAAATGACACGGTATTATTAAGCAATATCACAAGTATTTTAAAATCAGTTCTAAACAGATTTTTTTTTTCAACTCAAAAAATTGTCTGGGAGCCATATGCCGTCACTGAAAGAGCCATATATATGGCTCGCGAGCCATAGGTTCCCGACCGCTGCTCCACACCAACCCGACCGCGGGAAAGGGAGATAGAGAGAGAGACGGTGAAAACAAACAAAAAACCCCGGTCGCGTGAAAAAAAGATCAAACATCGTTCGACGGCTGCTGGTCGCGACGTTCACGATACCATTTCTCGTTCAGTCTGTGCCGGTCGAATTGGCGTGAGGCTCCCCTTCCACCACAGATCTTTTATCTTCTTGGTTCTTTCGGTAAAGTCACGTAGAATGGAAATAATAAAATAATAAAATAAAACATAATAATAATAATAATTCTCACGACGTGTCGGCATTCTACGTGACTTTACCGAAAGAACCAAGAAGATGAATCCCTGCAGTCACGAAAGAAGCTTTAAATCGAGATTTTAATGTTTTATTTTTATTATTTTATCATTTCCCTTCTACGTGACTTTACCGAAAGAACCAAGAAGATGAATCCCTGCAGTCACGAAAGAAGCTTTACATCGAAATTTTATTATGTTTTATTTTTATTATTTTGTTACTTCCCTTCTACGTGACTTTACCGAAAGAACCAAGAAGATGAATCCCTGCAGTCACGAAAGCTTTAAATCGAAATTTTATTATGTTTTATTTTCATTATTTTATCATTTCCCTTCTACGTGACTGTACCGAAAGAACCAAGAAGATGAATCCCTGCAGTCACGAAAGAAGATTTACATCGAAATTTTATTATGTTTTATTTTTATTATTTTGTTACTTCCCTTCTACGTGACTTTACCGAAAGAACCAAGAAGATGAATCCCTGCAGTCACGAAAGCTTTAAATCGAAATTTTCTTATGTTTTATTTTCATTATTTTATCATTTCCCTTCTACGTGACTGTACCGAAAGAACCAAGAAGATGAATCCCTGCAGTCACGAAAGCTTTAAATCGAAATTTAACTCGCCATCTGTTGGTTGCTGCTGCTGCTGCTGCGACTACCACGTTGTCTTAGCCCCCAGACAACGACGACCTGTTGGGGAGGCCGGAGAGGGGGGAGAAGAACGGCTCCGAAAAGCCCACCACGCGCACGTACGCACGCATCAACGTCAAACAACGATAACATGTAACACCGGGTGAACACGTGGCCTTCATGGCTCGTAGCGGGAGTGTTTTTTCTTTTTTTTTGGGGGGGGGGGGGGGTCAGCCCAAATGTTCGTTGTAAAGAAGCCTGCATAGGGCCCGACCGGCGAAACGTCGCCCGGATTTCCACACCGGGGCGCGAGCATTTGCTAGCGAGCGCGCCGGGAAATGCTGCGGAAAGATTACACTGGTCAACACACTTTTTCTGGCATAAGGTATTCCAACGGGTTTTTAAGGTAAGTTTGGGGTGCTGATTCCAAATCTGGCATCAGTTGTTGTCCATCACATCAGTTTTTTTAGATATCAAATATTGCATTTTCAATAAAAACTGCGGAAGAAAAATATTAAATGAATGTGGACATCTACATAAAATGATATTATGAACACACTATCCTAAAAATACAGCACCGCATTTTAACACTAAAGCAGTCACTGACTCGCAACAACAACTCGCAATCATAAGTGACAGAGTTAATTTCGGGTAAAATCAATAAAAATGGGGTATGCCGATAGCATCAAAATGAGATGTGATAGAGCAAATCTGAGATCAGATTTGGAATCAGCACCCTGAAATTAGTCTAAAACAGCTGCAAAAGTCCAGGCCAGAATTTTTTTTTTTGTTGACCAGTGTTATCGCGACCACGTTGGAAACAATGGAGGTGCATGCGGCATTTCACTTCGGACTGCACCGAGCGTCTCGCGCCGGCTTCCTGGAGTTACCCGAAGTTGCGTCGGATGCGAGTCGCAATTGTGTGTGGCAGGTGACACCGCCCGCCACATTCGCCGGAGTTCCGGTAGGTGAGAGATCGTTCTCTCAAACTAAACCGTTGAGCCGGTCGAAACGATCATTGTCGTTATTTACGATGCCCATGTTACGAGCGACGATTCAAAATCATTTCCGCCGGTCGGGTGTGGTTGGAGGCTTCTTAACGGCGTCAATTTGGCCCGAACCATTACAGGACGGGAAGGGGGCGGGGGGGAATGGGGGTGCCTAGCCCAAAAGTTCAATCGCGAATCGATTTTACGTCGTCGTCATCAACGCTCGTACCGTTTGCGTCCTTCAACATTTATACCTTAAGACTAAATTATTATTACTTCGTAAAATATGCTTCCATCGGATGGGGGTGGTGGGGGTCGTGGGGTTCGTGGGGTTAGGGGGTAAACCGACGGGACACTACGGGGCTACTCACTCCACAAGGCTAGAGAGGTGGTGTGCATGTTCCTGCGGTACAAAACGTGACTCAAAACCCTGAGAGGGAAGAACGGGAGGGGTCCGGACGAAGGCATTCACCACTGGGGACCCCTCCAAGTGCTCAAGTGTGGGAAGATTACATCGTGAAGAGCTTTTTTGTGACAGAGAGAGAGAGAGAAAAACAAACACGTTTCTTTTTTTGTGCTTAAATACAAGAAACACGGCCATGGGACATTCAGAGCCGCGGCGCAGGCGAGGCCTTAGGCTTGCAGCCCTGCACAGCGCTTCATAGATGGCGCTTGGGGTACCTGGTCCCTTACGTTTACCCTATATGGACCCACGTAGTCCTCGCCCCGTGAAGGCCTCACGCAGACCTCGCCTTGCGAGGCCTCGCCCAGGTCTTGTCGTGCGAAGGCCTCGCTCCGTGAGGCCTCGCCCAGGCCTTGCCTCGTGAGGCCTCGGGTAGGCCTCGCTGCGTGAGGCCTCGAGTAGGCCTCACCCATTCAAACCTCATGCAGGCTTCGCTCCGTGCAGGCCTTGCCCAGGCCTCGCCCCGTGAGGCCTAGGGTAGGCCTCGCCCATTCAAACCTCATGCAGGCTTCGCTCCGTGCAGGCCTCACCCAGGCCTCGCCCTGTGAGGACTAGGGTAGACCTCACCCCGTGAGGCCTAGGGTAGGCCTCGCCGATTCAAACCTCATGTAGGCTTCGCTCCGTGCAGGCCTCGCCCAGGCCTCATCCCGTGAGGCCTCGGGTAGGCCTCGCCCATTCAAACCTCGTGCAGGCTTCGCTCCGTGCAGGCCTCGCACCACCGCACGCACCCAGTCCCTCTTTGGCGCGTCACGCGTGAGAAGCGGCGCCTTCGTGGCTGCACCGGCGAGCCCTCTTCCTCCGCCGCACGCGGTGGGGGTCGGAGCGGCTCGCGCCGCGCGCCGCTCCGCGCCCGTCGTCGCGGCCGACTCCACCGTCGTCCTCATCGCCATCGCCATCATCGGCGGCGCTGTCGTCACCGTCACAGGGCCTGAACTGCCGCCGGTCGCCACCTTCCTCCCCCTCCTCCTCCGCCGCCATCGTCGCTGTCGTCGTCGGCGACCCCCGACCCTGGGACGAGGCCTCGGGGTCCGACGGTCTCCTGCGGCGGGCCGGCGCGATCGCGCTCTCCGCCTTCCTCCTCCTCTCCTCCTCCTCCTTCTCCTCCTTCTCCTCCGCCGCCTCCTCCTCCTCCTTGATCACTCGCTTCCACATCTCGTGGTTCTCCAGCAGGTGGTGCGTCAGGTGGCAGAAGTACTTGCGCGGGCGTTTCTTCTTCATTCGCTTGGCTGCGTCGGGCGACAGGAGACCGCGCGAGTGGCATGTGTGTGAGGCACGCGGTGAGCCCTAGAGCGGTGTTCTTAGGTTTTTTCGGTAAAGTCACCATGTAGGTAAAACATTTAAATTAATAAAAGTAAAAAAAAAATCAATCACGACGTTTCGGAGGCAACACAAGCTTCCGTCTTCAGGTGGAACCGTCACAGCACGATAGCTGTATCACTTGATACTTTTACTTTGATTAATTAACATTTTTTACCTACGTGACTTTACCGAAAAAACCTAAGAATATGAATCCTTGCAGTCACGAAAGCTTCAAATCTAGAACCCTAGAGCGGTGTTCTCCATCGCAGAGCCTGCGGGCCCTGCTCTAAGCCTTCAGTGTCGGCCCCTGACCCACCCCACGGTCATCATCGTCGTCATCGTGCCGCTGGCAAGAGGCCAATGATTTCAAACGTGTGGCGGAGCCCCTCACGCTAACGATGTCTTGTCGGCGAAGGTGGCAAACCCCCCCCTCTGAAAATTTAACGGCAACGTCGCCCCTTTGCTACCCCTTGAAGGAGGATGTGGTCAAATCGATTGCCGGGCAGCGACGTCAACAACGTCGACATTTTTTGCGTCTTGATCATTTACGCTTGAACTATGCAGCTGCACGTTCAGCTGCCTAGACCTAATCCCTAACCCCAAACTCTATCTAACCCTTGAGCCAGTGGTTCTCTGCCTGGGGTGCACGCACCACACCCTGGAGGAGTGCGAGATGCCTCTCTAGTGGTGGGTGCAAGACATGGGCAGATATTTTTTAAATCCTCTATATTAAGTTCACTTGCTTGCTTGCTTACAACCGTGCAAATCTTTCGGTCGTTTTTTAACCCACTTCCCATGATCCAATCGAGCTGACATTTTCCACACAGACTCGTTGTGCGTGACAATTAATGTTCGTGAATTTTTTTTTTCCAAAATTTTACACTTTTTAGGACAAAGATATTATATTTAATTACCAATTGCTTAATGCTGCCATGCAATCATCTGACCCATAGGTGGCAGCCATCTCAAGCCAGAGGACGAGAGGACTCTAGCCGCCACGCATATAAAGGATTTAGGGTGAAAAACTTTGTTTTTACGGGTTATACTTGTTTTAGTCTCCCTACACCCGACGGTCCCCCACCTCGGTCACCCCATGAACGCGACAGTCTCTCAACTCGCTAACCCGTCGCGTCCAGGCGAGGCGGCAATGCGGCGTCGCTTACCGTGCCGCGTGTCGCCGTCCTCATCGCTGTCCTCCTCCTCATCCTCCTCCTCCTCGTCGTCGTCGTCCTCGTCGTCCGACGACTCGGACCGCCCCGCCTCGTCGGGGCCGCGCTCCACCCAGGCCCCCGGCATGAGGCCCGCCGAGTCGTACGAGCGGCACAGCGGCCCCACGATGTGCGTGATGAACGACTCCTGGAGCTTGGCGAGCTGCGGCGCCGTGCGGTCCATGAAGGGGCTCACGGGCAAACCCAGAGTCGCCTCCTCGTCGCCCTGACAACGGGAGGACAGAGACCCGAGGTTCCACCGCCACCGCCACCACCGCCACTGCCAGTAGGGTCACATACAAGACCGCCTGCCTCTGCCACAATGCCTTCAAATCCGCCTGCCCGCCGTACCTCTCTTCATTATTGACAACTTGCAGCTCAGCACACGGCAGATGCCTGCGCAGCGCGACTCACGACCTCCTCTTGATACCAAGATCCAGGATGGTCATCGTGTCTATGCGCGGCTTCTCGGTGGCAGCCCCAACAGTCTGGAGCGATGTCCCTCTGCACATTCGTAGCCATCACCTCAATCACCTCCTTCAAGAGACACTTAAAAACTCACCTCTACAACCACGTGCTTTTGAGCGACTCTGAGCTTGGCTCCGCGCCTCTGAGTTGCGGCCACTACGTCTGCAAATTTGCGCGCGTTACAAATTGAACTAGTATTATTACTACCAGCACCCGCCCGCCCGTCCCGTAATTAAATTTTTATTTAACGAGGTAAGAAGGCTCCACCGAGCTGCGTAGAGCTTGTTTTCAAAAGCGACCACCCCCCGCTCCCCTCCCACGGCTACCACGAACGACGGCTGCTCAAATGAAGTGGTGGCTCGTCATCGTCATTATCATTGTCGTCATCGTCGTCGTCATCGTCATCATCTTCGTCATCGTCATTGTCGTCATCATCTTCGTCATCATCATTGTCGTTATCGTCATCATCTTCGTCATCATCATTGTCGTCATCGTCATCATCTTCGTCGTCATCATCATCATCATCATTGTCGTCATCGTCATCATCTTCGTCGTCATCATCATCATCATCAATGTCGTCATCGTCATCATCTTCGTCGTCATCATCATCATCGTCATCATCATTGTCGTCATCATCTTCGTCGTCATCATCATCATTGTTGTCATCGTCATCATCATCATCATCGTCGTCGTCATCATCGTCGTCATCGTCATCATCGTCGTCGTCATCATCATCATCATCATCTTCGTCGTCGTCGTCATCATCGTCGTCATCGTCATCATCGTCGTCGTCATCATCATCATCATCATCTTCGTCGTCGTCGTCATCATCATCATCATCGTCGTCGTCATCGTCGTCATCATCATCATCATCGTCGTCGTCATCGTCGTCATCATCATCATCATCGTCGTCGTCATCGTCATCATCTTCGTCGTCGTCATTGTCGTCATCGTCATCATCTTCGTCGTCATCATCATCATTGTTGTCATCGTCGTTGTCATCATCATCATTGTTGTCATCGTCGTCGTCGTCAGTCATCATCGTCGTCGTCGTCAGTCATCATCGTCATCATCATCATCGTCGTCATCATCGCTATCATCGTCATCATCGTTGTCGTCATCGTGGGGTGGAAATTTATAAATTATAAAAATAAAAATTTATAAAAATAAAAATATAATAAAATAAAGATACAAATACTAATAAAATAATTGCCGGAGGGCGCTCGGGGAAAATTGGACGCGACCACGGGGAGAGAGACAGGAGACACGTCGCAAAAACTCCAAGTATACAGCAGCAGTATCAAAGTGATGACGAAAAAATACGTAAGAATACGTCTTTAAACCTGTTCCCGGTCATCGGCAAGTCCACTCAGCTCCACGTCCTCCTGTACCACACCACTCCATCTCTTCTCCAGCCCGTGCCGCGCCCGTTTAGCCCCCTCTATCCATCCGAACAAAAGCTGTTTTAGGCATGTGGTGGCTGGGCATGCGGGCTACATGACCCAGCCAACGCAGCCTCGCCTGCCAAAGGAGCTCACCGATGGGACTTTGTCCAGGTGCACACACACATACGCAAACTCCAAATGCTGTCCACTCTAGATTATCTGCGCTAATGATGGGGAGGTACAGCCGCGGAAAAATTCAAGATCGCGTATAACCCAAAAAATATTTCTATTTTCCGCAGATCTCTATGCCAAAAACCAGTAATATAGTTATATCTTCTTGGTTCTTTCGGTAAAGTCACGTGACTTTACCGAAAGAACCAAGAAGATGAATCCCTGCAGTCACGAAAGCTTTAAATTGAAATATAGTAATAGAGTAGTGATCGATGCGCGTGCTCAGTGACAACACTTTCCTGCTCCCGCCCAGCAGAAGACTGAGTGATTGACAGCAGCAGAGCGACAGCCAAATCAGCATCAATCAAAAACTCCTCCCCACTGTTGCAAAGATATTGCAACTACTGTACTGTAGGGTGATCGCGGGGATTCCGGATTCACCGGAGCACGCGCATTTGTTCGGTTTAAGCGCCGCGTGACTTGCAACAAACACCCCAAGAACAGCAAACGCGCTCCTGTGTTTAGCCGCTTCATGTGGGCGTTCCACAGAGGTCGCAACCGGGTACCCGATACCCGTACCCTATCCGATACCCGGCTACCCGTACCCGGCTGGGTACGGGTAGCCGTTTGCGACCCTGGTGCGGCCGGGTACGGGTACGGGTAGGCCGTGAGTCACTGGTGAGTAACTGTTTGTCACTCATTTCCCAACGTCTTGTCTCTTCTCACAATTCAAGTTTCTAGAATCAACCCACCCGCGCCTGCAACATGGCTTCATCCCAGAGTTCGCAATCAGGTACCCGATACCCGTACCCTACCCGTACCCGGCCGAGTACGGGTAGGGTATGGGTACGGCCGGGTACGGGTACCCGTTTGCGACCCTGGTGCGGCCGGGTACGGGTACGGGTAAGGAATGAAAACCCGTTTGCGACCTCTGGCGTTCCATCGGAAAATCCACGCGGTGGCGATCCGTGTCAAAAATCTCAGCGTGTGCACGGTTCGTCCGCACACCGGATAAAACCCGCGCAATCGAGAGCGCCGCTGCGTGTAGAGTGTGTAGAGCGTGTAGAGCGTGTAGAGCGGGGAGGGCGAGCAAGCGGGGAGGGCGAGCGAGCGGGGAGGGCGAGCGAGCGGGGAGGGCGAGCGAGTGGGGAGGGCGAGCGAGCGGTGAGAGCGAGCGAGCGGTGAGAGCGAGCGAGCAGTGAGAGCGAGCGAGCGGGGAGGGCGAGCGAGCGGTGAGGGCGAGCGAGCGGTGAGAGCGAGCGAGCGGTGAGGGCGAGTGAGCGGTGAGAGCGAGCAGTGAGAGCGAGCGAGCAGTGAGAGCGAGCGAGCGGGGAGGGCGAGCGAGCGGTGAGAGCGAGCGAGCAGTGAGAGCGAGCGAGCGGTGAGAGCGAGCGGTGAGAGCGAGCGAGCAGTGAGAGCGAGCGAGCGGTGAGAGCGAGCGGTGAGAGCGAGCGAGCGGTGAGGGCGAGCGGTGAGAGCGAGCGAGCGGTGAGAGCGAGCAGTGAGAGCGAGCGAGCGGTGAGAGCGAGCGAGCAGTGAGAGCGAGCGAGCGGTGAGAGCGAGCGGTCAGAGCGAGCGAGCGGGAGGGCGAGCGAGCGGTGATTGCCACCTGCTGGTAGAACTCGTTCACGATGCCCGTGGTCCAGCGCAGGTGCAGGTCCCGGATCTTGGCCGGCCCGTTGATGTCCGCCAGCTTGATGCACATCTGGCAGACGAGGAGGCGGTCGTTCTCCTGGCTCCAGTCGATGCCCGTGCCGTCCGCGCCGCTCACCTGCCGAGGACGAGGGGAGGCGGTGGAGGGGAGGTGGGGAGGGAGGGGATGGAGGGAGTAGAGGGGAGGTGGGGAGGGAGGGGATGGAGGGAGTGGAGGGGAGGGAGTAGAGGGAGGTGGGGAGGGAGGGGATGGAGGGAGTAGAGGGGAGGTGGGGAGGGAGAGAATGGAGGGAGTGGAGGGGAGGGAGTAGAGGGAGGGAAGTAGAGGGGAGGGAGGGAATGGAGGGAGTGGAGGGGAGGGAGTAGAGAATGGATGGAGTGGAGGGGTGGGAGTGGAGGGGTGGGAGTGGAGGGGTGGGAGTGGAGGGGTGGGAGTGGAGGGGTGGGAGTGGAGGGGAGGTGGGGAGGGAGGGAATGGAGGGAGTGGAGGGGAGGGAGTAGAGGGGAGGGAGTAGAGGGGAGGGAGGGAGTGGAGTGGAGGGAGTAGAGGGGAGGGAGTGGAGGGGAGCCGGGGAGGGAGGGGATGGAGGGAGTAGCGGGGAGGGAGTGGAGGGGAGGGAGGGAGAGGGGAGGGAGGGGAGGGAGGGAAAGGAGTGGAGAGAGTGGAGGGAGTGGAGGTGGTGGAGGGGATGTAGTAGAGGGGAGGGAGTAGAGGGGAGGGAGGGAGTGGAGGGGAGCCGGGGAGGGAGTAGAGGGGAGGGAGTGGAGGGGAGGGAGAGGGGAGGGAGCGAGTGGAGTGGTGAGAGTGGAGAGAGTGGAGTGGAGAGAGTGGAGGGGAGCCGGGGAGGGAAGTAGAGGGGAGGGAGTGGAGGGGAGGGAGAGGGGAGGGAGAGAGTGGAGTGGTGAGAGTGGAGAGAGTGGAGTGGTGAGAGTGGAGGGGAGCCGGGGAGGGAGTAGAGGGGAGGGAGTGGAGGGGAGGAAAAGGAAAGAGGGAGGGGAGTGGAGGGGAGGGAGAGGAGGGAGTGGAGGGAGGGAAGGGAGGGGAGGGAATGGAGGGGGGAGGGAGTAGAGGGAGGGAATGGAGGGAGGGAGGAGAATGAGTAGAGGGAAGAGAGGGAGGGAGAATAGGCAGGGAAGGAAGGGAGGGAGGGGAAGGGATGGAATGGAGGGAGGGATGGGAGGGAGGGGAGGGACGGAGGTCAAGACAGTGACACCCACAGTATAGCCCACATGGACTGTAGGGGCAAGTGCTGTTAGCGAGCACCTATGAAGGCCGGCACGGCACACGAGGGGTGGGTGGCCAGGACCACGCCCGGCCGCCTTTGTCTCCCCAGCGGCGATAGTTACACACAGCACGAGGTACTCATTTGAGGCTGAGTCGACCTAGGGGAGGCTCTGGACCGGTTCAAATAATCCTCACTGATGTTGACCGTGAGCGGGGATCGAACCCGCGTCGACAGGTTCGTAGCGCAGCGCGCTACACTGCACTGCCGCTCCCCACCACGCACACACAAACACACACATACACACACACATACACACACAGTGACACACACACACAGTGAGACACGCACAGTGACACACAAAGATAAAAAGATAAAGATCCCCCGTATAGCCTGAACAGACTGTAGGGGCAAGTGCTGTTAGCGAGCACCTATGAAGGCCGGAACGGTACACGAGGGGGTGGGTGGCCAGCACCACGCCCCGACCGCCTTTGTCTCCCTAGTGGCGATGTTTACACACCACACCAGGTACTCATTTAAGGCTGAGTCGACCTAGGGGAGGCCCAGGACCGGTTCAGATAATCGTCACTGGTGTTAGCCGTGAGCGGGAATCGAAACAGTGACACACACACACAGTGACACACACACAGTGACACACACACACAGTGACACACACACAAACACACACATACACACACACATACACACACAGTGACACACACACACAGTGACACACACACAGTGACACAAACACACATTGACACACAGTGACACACTCACACAGTGACACACACACAGTGACAAACACACACAGTGACACACACACACAGTAACACACACACAGTGACACACACACACAGTAACACACACAGTGACAACACACAGTGACACACACACAGTTACACACACACACAGTTACACACACACAGTGACAAACACACACAGTGACACACACACACAGTAACACAGTGACAAACACACAGTGACACACACACAGTTACACTTACACAGTGACACACACACAGTGACACAAACACACAGTGACACACAGTGACACACTCACACAGTGACACACACACAGTGACAAACACACACAGTGACACACACACACAGTAACACACACACAGTGGCACACACACACAGTAACACACACAGTGACAAACACACAGTGACACACACACAGTTACACACACACAGTTACACACACACAGTGACAAACACACACAGTGACACACACACACACAGTGACACACACACAGTGACACACACACACAGTAACACACACACAGTGACAAACACACAGTGACACACACACAGTTACACACACAGTGACACACACACACAGTGACACACACACAGCGACACACCACACAGTGACACACACACACACACAGTGACAAACACACACTGACACACACACAGTGACACACACACAGTGACACACAGTGACACACACAGTGACACACACACAGTAACACACACACAGTGACACACACAGTGACACACACACAGTGACACACACACAGTGACAAACACACAGTGACAAACACACAGTGACACACACAGTGACCCACACACACAGTGACACACAGTGACCCACACACACAGTGACACACAGTGACACACACACACAGTGACACACACACAGCGACACGCACACACAGCGACACACACACACAGTTACACACACACAGTGACACACACACAGTGACACACACACACAGTAACACACACACAGTGACAAACACACAGTGACACACACACACAGTACACCACACACAGTGACACAAACACACAGTGACACACACACACAGTGACACAAACACACAGTGTAACACACACACAGTAGCACACACACAGTGACACACACACACACAGTGACACACACAGTGACACACACACACAGTGATACACACACACAGTGACACACACACAGTTACACACACACACAGTCACACACACACACAGTGACACACACACACAGTGACACACACACACACAGTAACACACACACAGTGACACACACACACAGTGACACACACACAGTGACACACACCACAGTGACACACGCACACACAGTAACACACACACAGTGACACACACACACACAGTAACACACACAGTGACACACACACACAGTAACACACACACAGTGACACACACAACGTACACACACACAGTACACAACACACACACACGTACACACACACGTACACACGTACACACAACAACAACAACAACCGCCATTCGCCACTAAGTGGCGGTGACGTCACCACGATGCTTGTGCCAGGCCAAGTGCACCTTGAGGCCACGTGAAGTGTCGAAAGCCCGCTGGCAGGAGGTCACGGGGCAGACCCAGGTGCCACTGGTCGACTGACCGAGATGACCGAGATGACTGGCTGATGCACCACCTGTGCCCCCTACTGTGCCAACTTGCTGTGCTTTAGCCACCCGGCGCTCCGCTCGTTGTTGTGAGCGTCGCTCCTCCGCCCTCCGTTGTTGTTGGAGGGCGACTGCCTCCAACTGCCCAGTAGCGTCCTTCACGAGCCTCCTCCACTGAGGCCGATCTTGACACCGCTGGTACCAGTCATCGGCAAGTCCACTCAGCTCCACGTCCTCCTGTACCACATCACTCCATCTCTTCTCCAGCCCGTGCCGCGCCCGTCTAGCCCCCTCGATCCGGCCGAACAAAAGCTGTTTAGGCATGCGGTGGCTGGGCATGCGGGCTACATGACCCAGCCAACGCAGCCTTGCCTGCCGGAGGAGCTCACTGATGGGACTTTGCCCAGATCTTTCAAGGATTTGTGAGCTCCTCACACAATCCAGCCTGGTTAAACCCAGGATGGATCGTAGGCAGGCCAGCCTAAATGTTTCCAACCGGCGAAGATGCTCCACCAGGGGGGTCCACGTCTCGCAAGCGTAGAGAAGGGAGGGAATGACCGTGGCCGAGAAGACCTGAAGCTTCGTGCGGAGCGACAGACCAGGTAGCTTCCACACAGCGTTACGCAACCGATGAAAAGATATTGCCGCTCGACTGATTCGGAGTGAGACCTCTGCTGATAGACTGGAGCCGGTCATAAGCACACTGCCCAGGTATGGGAAACTCTCCACTCTCTCCACAACTGCCCCATCACCAATTGGGAGTTGTGGGGGTGGAGTGTCCGATGGTACAAAATACCCAGGCAGGTGCTTGGTTTTGGTGGGGCTGATGGTAAGGCCCCACCTCTTAGTGGCACGCTCCAGTCTCAGCAGCAGCGCCTCCAACTCCTCTTCTGAATGAGCAGCTATTACCAAATCATCGGCATACATAACGTGGTTGACCAATAGGGAGCCATCCCTTGATCGCACCCGGGCGTCGATCAGCCTCCCATTATATCTGTACCAAACGGAAATTCCCCCGGTACAGCTATTGAAGGCTTCACGAACTACGCGGTCAAAATAGATGTTAAATAATGTGGGAGCCAGAGGACATCCCTGTCGCACCCCAAGGTGTACAGGGAAAGGCTCCGACTCCCGGCCACGTAGTTTTACCCGGGCCCGCTCACCATCATGAAGGTCCTTAATGATCGTGAGCAGAGGGTCAGGGACTCCGAAAGCACGAAGAACAACCCAGAGTCCAGTCCTACTGATGGTATCATAGGCCTTGACCAGGTCAATAAAGCAGAGATGTAGGTCTTTTTGGAATTCCCTACACCTCTGCTGTAGCAGACGGACAGAAAATATGGCATCTGTGCAGGACCGCCCTTTCCTGAAACCGCATTGGGGCTCCGCAAGCCCCTCCTCAGCGTGCCTAGCAAGGCGATGTTGAATAATCCTTGCCAGGACCTTACCCGGCACACTGAGGAGTGAGATGCCCCTGTAGTTGTTACAGTCTGTGCGGTCCCCCTTCTTAAAGAGGGGGACCACCAGGGCATCCTTCCAGTCCTGCGGAACCCGTCCAGTGGTCCAGACTGTTGTTATGATGTCATATAGGGCAGTCTGTGCACAAACGCCACCCTCCCTCAGCATTTCGCTTGGGAGATCATCTCTGCCCGGTGCCTTCCCTGGTCTCAGACTCCGGATCGCCCTCAGTACTTCCTCAACAGCTGGAACCTCAGCCAGCCACTCACAGGGGGTGACCTCTTCCAATATTTGAGGCACCGCAGCCTCAGCAGGGTTATCCCCACTTTGTGCCATGATGTTTTCCTGGCTGAGAGAATTTCCCTCCCCCAGGACCTCACAGAAATGCTCAGCAAATCTGCAAACCTGTTCCTGGGGGTCGGAGATTGGATCACCGTTTTTTCCTCTAATGATGGTAATAGGTGTGGCGCTGCAGGTTACTTTTTTGATGGAGTTAAATAGTGATTTGTGATCACGGGCCACTGAGGCAGACTCCATCTCCTCAGCAACCCGCGACCACCACCCATCCTTACAACGCCTTACGGCTCTCCGAACTTCCGAGCGAAGGCTGCGGTAAACCTCCTCATTCTCTGACGTGGGATGCTGTAGGCGATGAGAGTGGGCCTGTCGCTTTTTCTCAATTAACCTGAACACCTCCTCTGTCAGCCAGGGTTTCTGGGGAGGTCTGGACCGCGTACCCAAAGCAGCCATTGCAGCTGCATGAGTCACAGTCTTAAACCTCGCCCATTTACCCTCGACATCAGGTGGAGTGGGGGACGATGCCAACCCCAGCTGCAAGCGATGATGAAATTCTCGCTTGCAACTTTCATCAGCTAACTGAGACCAGGCCACTTTTGGTTGGAATGGGATCCTGGGTGTACACCCACCACCGGAGTGGAAGAAAGGCAGGCGCATCTTACAGATGACTAGTCGATGGTCAGAGGACAGATCAGCTCCACGGTAGGTCCTGGTGTCAAGGACATGGGTTCGCATCCGCTGGTCCGTCACTATGTAGTCCAGCAGATGTTCTTGCTTGGACCCGGCATGTATCCATGATGTTGTGTGGATGCGCCGATGCCGGAAGAGCGTGTTGGTAATTACAAGCCCATGGGCTGCACAAAAATCTAGCAGCCTCCTACCGTTATTATTGAGCTGATCTGGCCCATGCCTTCCAATCACTCCAGACCAGGTGTCAGCATCATGACCAACTCGGGCATTGAAGTCACCCAACAAGATGACTCTGTCCCGAGTGGCCACTTTAGCCAGCACCTGTGACAGGAGGTCATAGAAAGCGTCTGACTCATCGGCTTTGCTTGCATCCCTCCACGGATGTTCGTCTTCGGTGGGGGCATAAGTAACCACGACCACCACTCCTCGCCTCTGGTTGATGGGAAGGCGAGCCCAAAGTATCCTGGGGCTTACAGCTTCCCACACCTCACCGCCACGCTCCCACGCCCCCTTCATTCTTTTGTTCAGAAGAAGAGCCACACCCTGTTGTTTGGCAGTCTCCTGCCCCGAGTAGAGGACTGTCCACCCCTCATGGTGGCAGGAGCCAGAACCGGTCCACCGGACCTCCTGAATGCCACAGAGATCCAGGCGGTACCGGTCCAGCTCCCGACAGAGGAGTGGCAGCCTCTCCTCCGCAGTGAGCGTTCGAACATTCCACGTGGCCATCCGCAATGGTTTTTTGTTGTTTCTGGAGGAGCCCCGAGGGTGAAAATTCAATCTCCTGGCTCCGCCAAATGGGGTTTGGCCAGGAGACGTCATAAAAGCCTGACCCCCCGGGGCCTCCGGCACAAGCTTATTTGTTACAGGTTTATGTTTAATTCGTGGTTTAGTGGTAATGAATTGAAGGTGGAGGGGTTACCAGCCCCTCACACCCGTCCAGAGCCCCCGTTTAGCCACTGTGGTGGTCACCAGTAACACACACACAGTGACACACACACAGTGACACACACATACACAGTGCACACAGTAACACACAACACACACAGCGGACACACACCCACACACAGCGACACACACACAGCGACACCACACACACACAGCGACACACCAGTGACACACACACACACAGTGACACACACACAGTAACCACACACACAGTGACACACAGTGACACACAGTGACACACACACACACACAGTAACACACACCCACACACAGCAACACACACACACACACACACAGCGAACCACACACACACAGCGACACACACACACACAGCGACACACACAGTGACACACACACCCCCACACAAGTGACACACACACAGTAACACACACACAGTGACACACACATTACACAGTGACACACAGTGACACACACAAGACAAAGACAAAGATCCCCCGTATAGGCCTGAACAGACTGTAGGGGCAAGTGCTGTTAGCGAGCACCTATGAAGGCCGGGAACGGTACACGAGGGGGTGGGTGGCCAGCACCACGCCCGACCGCCTTTGTCTCCCTAGTGGCGATGTTTACACACCGCACCAGGTACTCATTTAAGGCTGAGTCGACCTAGGGGAGGCCCAGGACCGGTTCAGATAATCGTCACTGGTGTTTGCCGTGAGCGGGAATCGAACCCGGGTCGCCAGGTTCATAGCGCAGCGCGCTAACCGCTACACCACCGCTCCCCACTACACACACACAGCTACACACACACACAGCGACACACACACACACAGTACACACACACACACACACAGCAACACCACACACACACAGCGACACACACCACACAGCGACCCCACACAGTGACACCACACACACACACACAGTGACACACACACAGTAACACACACACACAGCGACACACCACACACACACACACGTGGCAGGCAACCTTGGCGTTGAACTCGGCGAGGAAGTCAAAGTGCTTCTTGAGGTCGTGGCGAGGATGGCTTCGATCACGAGGAATCGGAACCTCTTGAACTCCGCGTGGGCACAGCCCCGGCAGGAAGTTGAACTCGGGCCGTGACATCAGCAGGTGCCAGGCTGCCGCTGCATGGTGGTTCTCTAGCACCGAGCGGTCGTTGTACAGCACGGCCTAGGGCAGGGGTCGGGGAACCTTTTTGACTGGGAGAGCCCTGAAAGCAAATATTTCTAAATATATTTCATCGAGAGCCATGTAGTATTTTTATACTCTAGATTTGAAGCTTTTCGTGACTGCCAAGGATTCATATTCTTAGGGTTTTTTTCGGTGAAGTCACGTAGGTAAGACATCAAAATTAATAAAAATAAAATAAATAAAGATCACGACGTTTCGGATCTTTATTTTATTTTATTTTTATTAATTTTTATGTTTACCTACGTGACTTTACCGAAAAAACCTAAGAATAGTATTTTAACGTATAATAAATTCAATGTGTCTTACTTTTAATGCGACTTCTGATCACGGGACCCGTGACCCGAGAAATTTTATTTTCAAAAACTAATTTCTGTTTACTTTAAAATGACACAGTATTATTAAGCGATATCACAAGTATTTTAAAATCAGTTCCAAACTGATTTTATTTTTATTATTATTTTTTTCAACTCAGAATTGTCTGGGAGCCAATATGCCGTCAGCGGAAGAGCCATATATGGCTCGCGAGCCATAGGTTTCCGACCGCTGGCCTGGGGGGTGAGCACAAAGGCGGAGGATTACGGACCCCGTGTAGCCCGCGCGCGACGACGGGGCAAGTGCAGTTGGTCCGGGAGGGAGGCCGGGACCAGGTTGCAATATTCGATGGTGATGTTGGGCCCTGAGCCAGGAGTGAGCGGGCGAGCGAGCGGGCGAGCGAGCGGGCGAGTGAGCGGGCGGGTGAGGGGCGGGAGTGGGGGAGAGTGAGCGGGCGAGTGAGCGGGCGGGTGAGTGGGCGGGCGAGTGAGCGGGCAAGTGAGCGGGAGAGTGAGAGCGGGCGAGTGAGCGGGAGGAGAGGAGCGGCGGACGAGTGAGCGGGCGGGTGAGGGGCGGGCGAGTGAGCGGGCGAAGTGAGCGGGCGAGTGTGAGCGGGCAGGTGAGTGGGCGGGCGGGTGAGCGGGCGAGTGAGCGGGAGGTGAGCGAGGAGGTGAGCGGGCGGGTGAGCGGGCGGGCGAGTGAGCGGGGCGGTGCGAGGTGAGCGGGCGGGTGAGGGGGGAGAGTGAGCGGGGAGGAGGTGAGCGGGAGAGTGAGCGGGGGGTGGTGGGCGGGCGAGTGAGCGGGCGAGTGAGCCGGCGAGTGAGCGGGCGGGGTGAGCGGGCGGGTGAGCGGGCGAGTGAGCGGGGGCGGTGAGCGGGGCGAGCGAGCGGCGGGCGAGCGAGGCGGGCGAGCGAGCGGGTGAGCGAGCGAGCGGGTGAGCGGGGCGTCGCGAGTGAGTGAGCGGGCGAGTTGGCGGGCGTGGCGTACCTGCGGGGCGCTGGTGGCCACCAGGAAGGCGTTGGTGCGGCCCGGGTGGTCGTAGTCGTGCATGGCGGCCGCCACGTACAGCGCCATCAGCTCCAGCGCGGGGATGACCGACGCCAGGCACCCGTACCCCGACTCCGTGTCGCCCGCCTGCCACTCGGAGGACCCCGACTCCACGTCTCCCGTCGCGCCCCAAGTGCGCGACTTTGTGAACGCTGCACCACGAAAACGACGACAACAACAACGTTGCTGTGATCATTGTTTTTACCCTTTTATCTGGCAACGAAATGTATGCACTGTCCTTGAAGTTGATTGGTCCACACCCGAGACAGCTTTCCTTAAAGCCTAGTCTCACATGGGTTGGACCAGATGACGCCAAAAGGCGCACAACGTGCTCCCCACGTGCTCCCCGCGCGCTCCCCGCGCGCTCCCCGCGCGCTCCCCGCGCGCTCC